TCTCTTCACAGCATTAGTCTGCTCAGGTCTCAACAGAATCTCAGCAACTGACTGCAAATACTCCATCAGTATCTTGGTCAAAATCTTTAACTTTGTGTTTAGCAGAGTTATAGGCCTGTAGTTATCTAAATTCCACCCACCATCCTTGTCCTTTCTTAACAGCATGATCACACCCCTGGAGATCCAGTTGGGATGGACCCCTGCCAAAATCATTTGTTGAATAGAACAGTCAAAATCAGCACAAAGATGTCCAACAGCCTCAAGTACAAGTGGTACAAGTGTCATTGCCAACTCTCTTCAATGTCAAATGAACTTTGCCATAGAGACTTGAAAAGCTACTAAAACACCTTGCACAAATGATTGGTTGACCTCAGAGTATGTCCCTCTGGGGTATCAACCTCCCAAATGTAACAATCCGAACCTCAACAAATCTCTTCATTGTACAATTCTGTGCCCATGTTCACAGCTTTGTTAGACATCTTGTTTAACTCAACCCTTGTAGCACTCACTAACGGTTTGCTGAAGAGCCTGCCTAACTAAACCAATCTTTAGGGAATCTCAACTGAGACAGATTATCTTTGAGAGATTGAACTTCCAGTGTCCAGTCATTCTAGGCCTAAGACCTAATACCATCTAGGCACAGACAGGTTTCTGGTCCAAATAGCCTAATCAGTAGAATGTAGGACAATCTAGCAAATCTAGATCAACCCTTTTCACTAACATCCTGTCCAGGTAGCTGGCCACTTAAGAGCCCATGTCCACATCTCTCCCTTTGGGTGATTGACCCAGTATCTATCAACAAGACCAAAATCGCCAAACAGATCACCCAACTTCATGCTATTTCTTGGCCCCCTATCTAAGGTGGGCTCCAGGAGAGCATTCCAGTTCCCCATTAAGACTAATAATGATGAATCCACCAGTAATGGTCCCAACTGATGGAAAAAGGAGAGTCCATCTGGTCATTGGGCATATAAACGGCAATAATCTGAAACAAACTACTGTCCAGGGCAATATCAGCTATGATCAACTGCTCCCTCCCTGCATAGACATGGACAAAGTCCACCTTTCCACACAGGGTACATTTAATCAGCAAGGAAACACCTCTGGCCAGCTGGTCCCCCATATGCTGAATATACAAAGTTGCTAGACAGCACATGAGATTCAACTTCACAAAATGTGTCTCTTGGATTGTGGCCATATCTACACTGAAGGACAAGAAATCACAAAGCAGGTGGGTCGTCTTCTTACTCTGATCCCTCAACCCTTCACCTTCAAATTGGCTAGCTTGATAGACATTTTTTATGAAACTCTTTTACACACAGACTGGACAGAAATCTGTGGTGAAAGGACCCTGACAGATTGTCCCAGAGCCTATATTGGGCATAATTTATCCATCTAGGACAAACCTGCCTACATCCATAGGGAATGTTAATTTGAGGGCCTTATATAGTGGGGAATGGAGTAACACCAGGGCCCTCCCTCAATGATTATAAAGTTTCTTTAGCTCTTTCAACTCCACTTGAGCCATTCTGATGTTTGGGAATGATTTTTGTGTAGCATCCAACAGATCCCACACCTTCAATTGTTAGCAAAATTACCAATTAGGGTTATCACCCCAGGAGCATCAGGGAAGTTAAACAATGGCCTTCTTCTGTAAGAAAAAGTCCCTCTCTAGAGCCTGCCTGTCTATATGACAAATAACCTCTCCCTTGTGGATGGAATTCTTTTCAGGGGTGAGATGATGAAGCTCTAGAAGGGGAAGAGAGGAAGCTTCTTGCCTTAGCTTTATGTTCCTTTGGATGTGTTCTAGAAGCATAGGTTGTCCCTGGGCACTTTTCAATGAAGAGGATCAAGGTGGAGGCATCTCCTCTACTTCCATATAAAAATCCAGCTGGGGCAATTCATCAGGTTGTTGTTGCTGCTCCTGTTGTTGCTGCTCCTATTGCTACTGTTGTTGCTCTTTGAGCAGCTGCTGATGCCACTGCTTCTGCTTCTGCAGTCGTTCCTTCTGACACTGCTCTTGTTGCTATGGGACATTCTGCTGGGGAGAGGTAGGAAGGGTAGCAACCTTAGATTCCTTTTTTTCCACCTCCCTCTATTCACTGGTACACCATCAGGAACCTTGCTGGACTTGTTTTCCTTCACTGACTCCTTGGATGTACATGGTTGTGGTGTCAGGTTCCGGCCAGGACACATTTTTGCCAAGTGCCTGAGGGTGCCACAAGCCCAGCAATCAGATCTTCTACCCTCCACTATGACAAAGATCCTTCTTCCTCTGCCTATTAGTGTGTCAGAGATAATACCTATAGCACAAAATCACCAGTCGGCATGCCAGCCTTGCTCAGTACATGAGCAACATCTCTGACCTACCCATAGACAGCAAAGAAGGCTCTCACATGGTCCTCCATAATGTCCATATATTCAGTCTGTAGCTGAAGTGTTTTGGTCATGAGTATCATGGCTATGCTTCATCCTCTGTTGCCAACAGGATGTCCCACATGGTGTTAGAATGCTTGGCTAAAATCTTGGAGTTGATCCTCAGACGTTTTACAGCCTCTTCTATAGCCTCCCTGTTGATGGCAACCAATTTACAGGTTTTCACATCCATCATCAACAGGGAAATGGTCGTTGTAGTGACTGCACTTAAAGCTTCCAGGATGGTGAGTAATAATTCATTACCATTAAATCCTGGTATTTTTCTTGCATTCTGTCATAATAGGCTACATTCTTTTTTGGCCTATTGGAGGTCCAAGCTGATTTAGTAGGCGAATTTTCCTAAACCTATGTATATACATACTTATAGCATACTGATGGGAGTCCCATGTCACACAAGGAAAAGTTCAGTAAGACAAAAAAAATGTTTCCCAGACAATGACAACAATACAAATCTTGCAAAAAACACAGGGACAAATGATGACAAAAAATTCCAACACTTACTTTTTCAGCTCAATTCAAAATAAACTCGTCCAAAAATAAGACAATCCTTGTCTGAATATTTGACTTAGAATAACCAAGAAAGTGAGTGAATGAGGAGTGTTTTTTTTTTTTTGTTAGGTTCAAATCTATTTCAGGAAAAAAAAATATGTATATAAATCCCCCCGGGTACTGGGAGGGGACTTTGTTTTGTTTTTGTAGTACTAAGCAGAAACAGATTGTCATTGGAGGGAGAAGCAGTGGAAGTTATAAGAGGAAAAGGGACAGAAATCCAGGAATTATATTTTGTTGGATTGGTCAGAATTCTAACAGTTACTACTGGTACATTAGGAAAGAAAGGAGCTGAAGGCCGCAGGTTTTAATTTCCCTCCAGATCTATTCTTTAGCAGGAGTTGATTATTTTTTTTTAAAACCACATAAACAAAGGAAGAAATTACATTTGTGTTCATTTTTGGTTAAAAAAATTGGAATGTACCATTAACAAACAATAATATTTATGCATTGCTTTTCTACTTATCATAAACTTACTAAATTGAAAATACAATAATTAAAAAAATGATTAACATTATAGAAACACAGAAAGCCTACAAGGCAGAAAATGGAAATGAAAGTTTGATAAAGTAAACTACTTTACAAAACTTTTTGATTGGGAATAGTTGAAAAATGCATTATTCTTTCTTTACATAGAAAATGGGTACTACTTAAAAAAATGAGAAAAAAATGTTTCCATTTTTTTTACAAACGGATCAATCAATAGAGTTCAATTCTTAGTCTGATTAAAAAAATTTATTCTGAACATGAAAACTAAATATTTCTATCGTAAATTATAGTAAAATTTAATTTAACTAATTTGTTTTTGTATTTATTCACTTTTGAAATTTAAAACTTTAATATTCATCCTTTTTTTTAACTGTTTTTATAATTGAGAACAACATACCTGACAACTCTCCAGGTGGTGTGGTGAGACACCCAGTTTTGAGTTTTTTATCCCTGTTTTCCGGTTTTTAATGTTCTCTTGGTTAGCTAAGGGTTGATCTTCCACCAAATCTGCTGTTTTTATTATATTTTCCCTGTGAATAAATTGTTGATCTTTCTCCACTGAAAGAGCTGCAGGTTGGAAATACTCTATTCAGTCTGCATGTGTTTTGAAAACCATTTTTGATTGATTTATGAAATGATTTGGAAATAACATTTTTTTTTTTTTTTTTACCAAATGGAAGCTTGCTTACAAGTGAAATATTAGCTTGATATGGGTTGTTAATGTTGGTCCCAAATCCTGCTTCCATTGATAGCTGTGAGTGTTAAGAATGATGTTTTTAGACTATATGGGCAATTGGAGTGGGCCTTATATAAGATCGCCACGTGACGAATGCAGAATAAAGAAAAGAACACAACTGACTTATTATTTGTACAAATTATATTAATCAACATTACAAATGGGTCCTTGCAAACTTAATCATATCTGTGACTAAACTTATCTGCTGAGGGTGAATTGATGTTCTCACCATTTACAAACTCTGTGGTGATAAGGATGTAGAGATGACTCATTCAGCATGTGGTCATTGCAAAGGTTGTGCCAAGAATAAAAAGTTATTCAAAAAAGGTAGAAATGTGTGCCAATCACCTGCTGTGAGGTGATTGGCTCACCTTAAACTGCCAAGGGCAGATAATCATATATCCCAACAAGGAAGAAAACATGCACTGAGCACTTTCATATGCAACCATTTAGCCAACATGTAAAGTTCAACATGTAAGTCACCAGAGTTCACAGTAAATCATTTTGTTAGTATGATATTCAATTTGCAATGATAACTGCATTAAATATTTAGATAATCATATAATATCTTATTTCTTGTAAATAGAGAGTTACATTTTTAGGGAGATGTTTTAAATTCCTGTTTCTGTTTTTCATAAAATCCTTCTGTTTTTCTTAAGTTGGAAATCTAAATCTTCAGGTTTTTCACATTTAACACTTTGATTTCTGGATGGTTTTTAAATTTTTTGTAACAATTAAAAAATTAATTATTTTTTCCTTTTGTCTCTCTCTCTCTCTCTGTTTCCTGAAGTCCAAAAAGTTTCCAGAAAAATTATGGATTCAAAAAAGTAACAACCATCGTGGAATCAAAATATTGCCAATTAATGGTGAGTACTTGTTTATTTCAACCAGTTTTCTTAACCTAATTTATTGGGTTGGCCTTTTGTGTTCATTGTTAGATAGCATTTTAATTTTTAACTTAAGAAGAGTGTTTGGTAACTAAATTCATACAGTTTTTATTTAATAACAGAATACACTTGACTGCCACAAATTAATAGAGAATTTTATGATTTACAAGTTCATAAATTAGTTTTATTAAAATGAAAACAATTCTTGTAAAAATTCATTATTCATTCATGAAAATTTTATTTTTGTAAGTGCCCATAATATATTTTATTCATAAAACAATTAAAAGTTTTTCTAAATGACTTAGTTTTAAGGCATTTTTTATTTTACAATTCAGAGCAGATTTTCTCTAACTGGGAGTTCTGTTTGATCAAAAGAATTTGATGATTTAAATTCTCTGATGACTTGTCCTTATAACTAATATTAACATTGAGCATTACAAAACTGAATTACTCAATTTCATAAAATTAAATAAGTTGGGAGTGGGTGTAACAGATGTAAAACAAATTACCAAAATTTTCTAAAAAGAAATAAATGTTTCAAATATGATTTAATTCATTTATGAATAAGTCCTGGAAATTTCATTAAGTTCTTTTCTTTCTGCCCACTTCTTTTTTTCTGCCTTTTCTCACATTTCTTTTTCTTTTCATCCTTGGTGGCATCCACAGTCCATGGAAAGCTATATTCCTTCTAGTCCTTAGACCAACCAGACTTCTTAAATAGCCATAAATCAGCTCCAAAACTGTATAGAAAAATGAATATTATGGGGTGTAAGTTATTTTCCCCATTGGTTTTAAAACAATTATGAAATGTATCTCTTTAAACTACACCTGTTTTCAAACTTTACTTTTGTAACACTTTCAGAGTCAATCTTAGGGTTCACAGGAACCAATTGTAGCTCTATACCTCCCCGGTTGTCCAAGACATCTAATACTGCAATTGATCAATGGAGTGATATCGTCGATCCTGGCCTGCCTTACCCTACATTGTAATTCAGTTGATCATAAGGAAGCCAAGATCGACTCACATAGGTATCTTCATATTGGGCTGGTCCAAGCAGAGCGAAGACACACAGTAAAACAGGAGAAGAATAACACTCGAAATAATATAAAATATATATATATATACTATTTTTATATCAAGTACTGTGTACAATGGTTGGTTAATAGTTGTTAGGGTCTAGGTGTTAGCATGCAGGTGTTTGTCGACCTAACCCATCTTCTAAATTGAATGTGACCCTTGGTTAAGCTGGTAAGGTTTGGCTTGCAGACTTAGTGAAGTTTGTTTAGCTGATTTGGTAAGTTTGGCTCAAGGCTGATGTTTGGGTTCACATCAGCAGATAACTACATGCATTATCTCATGCTCAGCAACTGGAATAGACTCTCTGGGCGATCTCTCAAATTTGCTTGTGACATTTGTATTTATTGATATCTGCCAAAAACTGGTGTGGGGGTGTGATGCAGTTGGGAAATTCGTTTTTTCCTTCGCCTGTCATCTTCATCATTTTTAGTCCTGAGAAATTAATTATATCCCAATTTAGAAGTCTCCCCCTTTTCTCAGGTGATGGTTGTAGGCATTATTCCACCTACAGCTTCTTCCTTTTCCTCTTAGCATCTCCCACTAATACTCCTCAGTGGGCATGGGCAGCTCCTTCACCCTCCTTGGACTCTGCCTCCTTCCTTGATCTCTCTTCTGCACCTGTCATCTCAACCACCCATCAAAGACTAATTTAAATAACATTATTGTTCCAAATGCTATCACTTCATAAGTGAATTGATACTAGTGTTGACATTTTCTGGTCTGAAAGTTGAATAAACAATTGGCCTTCTCCTCCTCGACCCAGAGACACTTTCCCAGGGAAAATCTTGCAGCTTACATTATGGTGACAATCATTCAGCAGAATGTCAAGATGTCTCCGTGTGTTTTTATTAAAAAAAAATTAAGTCAGGTAGTTTTTGTTTTCAATCTTGACACCTCTGCAGCAAGATTCGCCAAGTCAGTTTTATATTTCCTTCCCATCCGAAATCAGACACTGGACACTTGGCTCTCATATCTTATGGCTCACATCAGAAATATTCCTTAAGTAACTTTTTACCTCTAACTGGCATTTAAAATTTTATCCAATTCTCCTAATCTTGATTCCACGGCAATTGTCAACACCTTGATTGTTGTACAAATTAAGTATTGTTGTTGTATTTGATTTATTTTAGAATTTTCAATTCTCTGGGAGTAAATTATTTATCAGTATATCGTTCTTGATATACATTAACCCTTTTCATGGTAGTTTATTTATCAACATATCGTTTTTGATATTCCTTATTATTATTTACCAGCAACCAAAATAGTGTTACATCTCTTCCTTACCCTTCCTGTAAATTACCAGTAAATGATATCTCAAATCCCCAAATCTACTAATATTCTATTTGTCATGCATATTAATTCATGCAGTAGTAATAAAGAAAATGGTTATTTTCATGCAGTATTTATAAATGTCCTTCCCTTTCATTTTTACATGCAGTATCTTTCTTTTCATGCAATGTTTATAAAAGTCTTTATCTTTTTCATCTTTACATGCAATATCCATTCAATATTTTTTTTATATGCAATGTTTATAAAAGTCCTTCCCCTTTTTATCTTTACATGCAATCTTCATAAAAGTCTTTCATGTGGATTGTGTGTAGGTGTGTTTTTGTGTGTGTTTGTCTTATGGTTTGTTCTTCTTGGTTACCATTCTTCTCTCCACAGTAGGAGCTTTTGGTTTTTCCTTAACTGGTGTCAGCTCCTCTTCTATTTCTGCTGTCAAGTTCAATCCGGTCTCTTCTTCATCTTTATTTGATCTGCTTGGGTAAGGATTGCTGAACGGTATCCCCTTCTCAAGTTGTTGCATGCTCGCCAAAACACCTTTAATCCATTTCTCTCTACTGCAGCAATGATTAACAAAGTACCTATCAATGCTGACCAGTTTATCACAATCCTTTTACTATCCCCCCAAACCATACCTTCTTTTCCTAAAATAGTTAATCTCTCTTTTAACTGATTCCTGTTAATCCTTTCTATTGGCTTTAGTAACTCTGGCATCCTTTCTAGTGTAACTCTAGGGAATTTGTTCATTACCGGCTCCCATAATTCTGTGCAATTACTTAAGCTTTTGTCAACCATTCCTATTATTGAGTCTTTTTCTTCATATTTCTCTTTGTCCTGATAATACAGGGGTAGGGAGATGGACATACCAAATACTGAACACCTCAGTGGTAGTTTTATTAGGGACAAGGGTGGTTTCACTTTCAGTGTCCTAGTGGGTTCTCCCCAACATACCATGAACAGATCAATTGTTTTCTGCGCAGCCACTACACAAAGCCCATCAGATAGCTTGTGGCAACACAGTGTTTGTTAATATCTCTAGTTGATAATTTCTCTTAATCCCTTCTCTGTTGTCTTTAAATAGTTCCCATATACACAACCTGTCACATATATAGGACTTAACGAGGTACACAATACCAGGGTATCATCTCTATACTTCCTGGCTTCCTCTGTTGTCAGCATCATAAATTTTGTTCTAGCTGAATTCAAAGCTACATACTCTGTCTCAGTCTGGTATCTCGCCACTGTCCCTAGGCCTTGTTCTACTTAGGGGTATGGAATAGGTAAATTTATAATCTGATATATTTCAAAAAGACTAACAACAGAAGGGACACCACAACCAATAGTTTATTATCTTCTAGCAAGGTAACACAACCCAGTACATTGTAATATTTCCATAATTCCTTGGTGGGGTCCACCAGTAACCTTAAATGATGGAGTAATTCAGTCTGTATCTTTAGTAATAATTCCTTCAAGTGCCCAGGGGTCACTATGCTTGGGGACAGGTGTCCCAAAGATAACATATCCATTTAAGTCCTCACATGCTCCAATAAAATCATTAGGGACTGACTAGTCTGTTGCACTTTATTAGTAATGGTTATCAAATTAAAATATTGTTGTATAAACCCACTCAATTCCTGTAACTTGGTTGTCACAACCTCTGAACTATTAGCTACTTCTTGACTTAGCTCTCTCAGGTTACTTATTAACCAATTGATACTGGTTCTATTCTTGGCCAGTCCTAACCTTGTCACATTCAGTATCAATACACTTTCTATAGCTATCTGGGTCAGAATTCTTTGATCATTTCTACTTTCCCCACTTTCCTCTTTATAACCTTGATGTCATCTTCAGTTACTGTCCCAGACAGGACATTTAGCACTTTTCCAACAATGGGGACCACTGGTCTCTTTTCTCTCATTTGTAGCAGCTTGAATCATTTCAGGTAACTCCTCATATCTTTCCACTGGGCTTCCATTATAGCTGTTTCCAATTCTAAAGAGTACAACAGCCTAAGGTACCTTCCTTCCCTAGGATAATTTTTCACCACAATCTGGCTGCACCCAGACCTTGTATCTCACTCTCTGATTTTTCTAGTAGTATGGGTTCAAATAGATCACAAAGGTAACTAGCCACTTCAACCATGTTATTATCACTTCACTCGTTTTCTTAAAAATTGTATTTTGGCCATGCCTCCAAGCACCTATCATCATCATCATCATCATCATCATCATCATCATCATCAACAACAACAACAACAACAACAGTAGTAGTGTCAGTTCCCTTATACCAGCTATTCATGCAAAGGTATAAGATTTCTTTGTTCTTATTCTTCTCGCTACTTATGCACATTTAGTTATTCTGGGGTACTCCTGTACTCCCATCTCTTAGCTTCTCAACTTACTTTTCTTCTCTTAACTAGACTGTAGTGAGTTGATTGGATTCAAACAAGTGTACATTGCTTTCACTCTAGAGATCGGGTCCATCAATACGCCGCCAGATGCATACAGGCCCATGTGCAGATCAATGACAGCACCAACAAGTAATTTCCTTTGCCCATCATGGCACACTAACTACACCTCCATCCACCTCCAGCCAAACTTCACTTGTTTATTACTGG